GAAGGGAACGGCCCTTCGGCCATTTTCTTTTCCATCGCGGCGCTCACGGGCAGTCGCTTTGCTGCTGAAATTCCTTAAAACTTCCCCGAGCAGACAAACTCCCACTGGGAAGCGGGGTTGTTGCGGGTAAAACGTTCCAGGAGTGAGGAAGAGCTACGTGCAGTAGTATAAATTTCAGGGATGTGTTATTACAAATAGTCTGAAATTGATCCGGGGTAGGGAGGGGGGGAAAAAAAAAGAAGGAACTTGCTACAGACACCATAATACACAATAAATTTCGATAATTTAAAAATAAAAAAAGGCAAGAGGCAGCGTTTCAGCAGCAAAGTGCTCAATAAAAAGTGTGTTCTAAAGGGATGGGACGAGGGAGGAGGGAGGCAGCGGTGGGGAGAGGTCTCAGAGGAAATACGGCGTGGTTGTTCTGGGAGGAATGACACGTTCTGAGTCCGGCACGGCGCGGAACAGCTTTGGTTCTCTCGTATTTACGTCTTTAAAGACCATGATGGAGGCGATGTTTCCGCAGCGGTAGCAGTAGTTTGGAGCAGACCACACCGTCACCAGTTTCTCATCAAACATGAATTTGTAGCCCTCGTGGACGAGCTGGTGTGCTCTGCAGATGAGCTTTAAGTTGTTGATGTGAACAAACTGCAAAGGAAGAGCGAAGGTCAGTTCTCCCCGCGCAGCCGCGTGCCCCTGCCCACACCACAGCCCTGGCACGCGCACACCGCGGAGAGGCGAAGGAGAATCTCTTCACCCATCACGCTGAAAAAAACTACTCAGTTTTGAGACCTGAACCGTAAGGAACAGCGGTGAAATACGGGTGGCAGCGGCGATGCCCAGTCTGTGCCATCCGCAGGGCTCAAACCTTCCTGAACATGCTGCGAAAAGGGCACAGCGACGGCACGTGGCACGGCTCTGGCACCCGGACCGCAGCAAGCTGAGCAGCCTGGGCAGGTCAGTGCACGTCAGCCCCACGAAGTCTGCTCGCCGTTTTCCAGTGCAACAAGAATTGTTAGGAAAAATGGTTACAATATTTTTTTTCCCCTAAATCCTTAGAAAAATATTCTATGCAAACCCTAGTGATGCTGGTTAGTCTCACCGAACCCTAGTGATGCTAGTTAGTCTCACCAAACCCTGGTGATGCTAGTTAGTCTCACCAAACCCTGGTGATGCTAGTTAGTCTCACTGCTTTATGCTTTTTAAAAACAAGATGACTGTATCTCCTCTGGCAGCTGTATTTAGGCTTTTAAGTTCCAACAGCTCATTTTTTCAACTTGGCTTGGGCAAACCTTCGCCACCACCACCACGACTTGCTCGCAGCGGTCTGTTAGAGGGGCAGCTCGCCATCTCACAGTGCCCTCATCCCTTCGTCCCCAGCGTAGACACCAAATCCAGCTGAACGCTTCCGTTCATCTCACAGCTGCAACTCCTTCACGTTGCACACAACGGCGTCATTACCTCGTTCGTCACCTTGGCACCGAAGAGCCAGCCTGCTCCTCGCGGGCTGATCGCCCACGTGTCGACGTCCTCCGGGTCGGACCAAACGAGGTCGCAGAAGGCGCCTTTGTGAGGAATTTCTTGATTACGTTCGATGGTTCGAATCTGATCGAGTGTCTTGATGTCTGGGGAGAGGCCGCCGTGCACACAGAGAATCTGCTCGTCTATTAACTGCAGACAAAAGAGACAAAATGCAAAATACTCCATGTTCAATCCAGCCCGGAACGCTGCCAGCGTGACCCTTATGGGTCACTAATTCCCACAGCCACGTTGGGACAGTCAACCTGCATTTCTGTACCGCGGCGTTCGCACTTACAGCTGCTATGGTGAGCATGTCGAAGACTTTGGTGCAGTATCTCCAGGCGTTGGCGTTCCCGTACTTGGTTTGGCACTCGTCTGTCAAACAGAGAATTCGGTTCTCAATGGGTGGGAAGCGTCTGGGCAGTGAGGTCGGAAGGCAGACACCCACAGCAGGACTTGCACAGCCAGACGGGTAACAAAACCCTGCCAGGAGCACCGGCCGGCAGCGGGAAGGGCCCGCGGTGCCTCGTGGTCTCCACTTGCCGCGACACGCCGGGCAGCGCGGAGCGAGCAGGGCTCGTGTAACGCGGCTGGGGGTGCTGCTCCCACAGCTGCCCGGCTGGAAACGACCCTGGCCCCAGCGAGTGCTTCAACTGGCAAATTTTACCCCAGAGAATCGAGCAGAAAGTCTGCCGGGGCCGGGTGAACATGCCCGCCGCAGGTGGGAGCCACGGCGGCTTTGTTAAAGCTGCGTGAACGCGGCAAAGCGCCCGCCGGGCAGGCGTTTCGTGAGCGACCGCGAGCACTCGTACGTGCTTGTGGTGACACACCATCCAAAAGAGAGCACAGTGTAGACATTATCCTCTACAGCAAGTGCGAGACACTTCCCAGGATTTCCTTGGATTTTATCAGAGCCTCGCAACACAACAACAGAATTTCCCAGCACTTGAACTCTCTCAGTTTTCCAACAGTTCTGCTGCTCATTTCTTGCCAGTGGCACTTTCCCAGTGCCCCCTGTTGGCAGTAAACACCTTCCACAGCAGACACTGAGTTTTGGTTATACCCAAACTTCAGGGGAATCGCAGTAACACGGTGACTTCACCCAGAGCCTTCCAGCACGAGACACCAAAGCACGTTCTGTGCCAACACACGCCCTATGGTTGAACGTGGCGCCACAGCATCGAGCAGAAACCCCAGCTGCTGGAGGAGATCTGGCCTAAAACACGTTTTACTTCAGGAACACAATGACCACGGTAACAACTGGTGGTATCTGAGCTCCCCCGGGCCCAACCCCTGCCGAGGGCACTGCTGCACCCATCCAGGTTTCCAAGGGAGGGATGCCGCCCTGGTTCGTGACCCGGCAGCCCGTCGGGGATCGCCTGGAGAAGGACTCACCGTAAAAGCCGTACACCTGCGTTATCTGCCTGCTCTCGTGGTTGCCCCGCAGCAGCGTGATGCGGTCGGGCCACTTTGCTTTGAGCGCCAGGAGGAAAGTGAAAGTCTCCAGACTGTAGTAACCCCTGTCCACGAAGTCGCCCTGCGGGCGGAAAAAGTGTTGGCAAACGCAGAGGCGGTCGGACAGAGACGGGCAAAGCGGCACAAAAATCTGTTCCGGACTTCTCGCAGGGCACAAAGAGAAGCCGGGATCCGCTCGGATCTATGGGACACGCTCTCCGGCCGCTTGGCGTTCCAGCTCTGACCCGGCACTGTGCCCACCCGGAGCTGCCCTGCCACACCACCCTGGTGCCGCCCGCTGGCACCGCTCCGCTCCAGGGGCAGCACCCCTCCTCCTGCATCACTTTACACCACGCAGCTCTTCCTTTACCCCACAGAATAAACCCGGGCGCAGCAGCCAGACAGCAGAACTGGGCACAGCGCTGGCAGCACGGCTGCAAACCCAGCGAGCGTGTCGGGATCTTACCCGTGGGGGGGGGGGCCCCCCCGCCGGCGGGCACCCGCACCGGGGGCCGCACTGCGCAGTGCCGGGCGCTGGGCATAGCACCGGCATGGCACCAGGCGCAGCACCGGGTGCTGGGCACGGCACCGTGCATGGCACCAGTGGGCACCGGCACAGCACCAGGCACCCCGCCGGCGGGCACCCGCACCGGGGGCCGCACTGCGCAGTGCCGGGCGCTGGGCATAGCACCGGCATGGCACCAGGCGCAGCACCGGGTGCTGGGCACGGCACCGTGCATGGCACCAGTGGGCACCGGCACAGCACCAGGCAC